TTCCCCTCCATCCCCTCTATATAAGGAGCACACTAGCAAGGAAAAAAGGGAGGGGACCATATACACATGCACACGTTTCCTCATAAACCATATTAAAACTATCAAAATCCTCATAAGTAGTCTCAATCGAAGGAGTCTTCATCAATACTCTATTCACTCCCTAAACTCTGCAGGAAGTGTTCCCAAGCACTAGCCAAAAGCCACGCATCAAGCCCACCAGTCCTTGGTAAAATTCAGGGTCACAATATTTTGATTACTATTTGATTTGTTTTTATATGCATGTTTGTGTTCTCATTGATCATTCATACAAATATAAGTGTGGAAGTACAGGGTGCCATTTTAAGGCTTCGAAATATCCAGGCTTCAAACTAGGTTGTACAAAGATCTTGTGCTAGTTTTTAACCCCAGATTTGGGTTTAGGAAATGAACATGCATAGGGTAGAGTCTTTGGATCTGTTTCGATCCAGCATTTGATCAAACTTGGAGGTGTATGTGCAGGAGAAGAACCTGGGTTCGACACCCAAGTTTATATTTGTTTCTTATTCTAACGTTTGTACTGCAGATCAAGCCTGAGCAGACCAGTGCGCACAGGATCAAAGGACATGGGTTCGACACCCAGGTCCTGCATCTTTATTGTCCTAATGCTTGTCTTGCAGATATGGATCGAAAAGCATATTTCCCTCCTGGATCGAAGAAGACAGCTCCTTCTCTGGATTGAATGAGACATTTCCTTCTCTGGATCGAAGTCTCCCATTTTCCCACTGGATCGAAAGACACCTTCTCTGGATCTAAGCTTCCCATTTTTCTCACTGGATTGAAGGATGCCCTTTGTATTTTTTTTTTTGTTATTGACCTTATCATTTGAATTAACTTTAAATAAAATAAAATCACAAAAAGCATTAGCTTAGTTTTTTTATTAATCAAATTAATTTTGTAAATAAATAAATAAATTATTTTAGTCTTTTCTTGATATTAAAATTAAATAGACTTAAGTTTAATTTTCTTTTATAATTAAAAACAAAACAAAAAGATTTCCTTTTACCTTAGGATTTTTAGACGTCTTTTCGAATTCATGCGCATTTACTATTCTAGCATTATTACTTTTATTTCATTATTGAATGTATCTGCTCACTGGATGTAATAGACTAATTAGGATTTCTACCGCTTTATTTATTTTTCTTCTCCCAAGTTTTGTACATTGTAAATATCCCCCCCCCCCCCCCCCCCCCGAAGCCATGTAATAGCGTAGGGTTATATTTTCACATTTTACGTTTTTCTGTACATATTAACTGCTAGTAACTAGGATTGCATGACAAAAATGAAAGCAAACGTTAGCAAACCTAACATAAAAGATACAAATAATTGAATACAAACACAATTGCACATATGCACCTCTAGAGTACCCCTACTTTGGTGCCTTCGGAAATAAAAAAGTTATGTCCCTCGAAATGGGGACGCTTTAGCAAAGACCCGTAAATCAAAAAGATCATAGTCCCTCAATGACCCTACAGTTGCCTTTCGGTAAATGATCTAGTCCCTAGACAAAATTGCTAAAGCGTCACCACAAGTTGCCTTCTTGATTGTACGTCCTTTCGAATGTCCCTCATACATCCAACGATAGGGCTACCTGCTCATTAATAGTAGGATAGCACTGTCTAAAGGATAGGAGGAAAAGAGCAAACCTTTTCGAGTCCAAGTAGATAGCTGTTAAATGCTTGCTCAAGTAAAACAAACTCTTTTTACACTTACACATTTCAGAAAAAAAATTTCAAAAGAAACATTTGCTTTGCCAACACTCTTGAGGATTGATACAAGAGTTAACGCAAAGCAAATCTCTGCACTAAGTCATTTCAAAACATTTTTTCAAAATGCACAAAGCACAAGGTACTTTTAAAATTAACTAAGCATCTAAGAGCCCGTAGATAACTACAGATGGAAAGGGTGCTAACACCTTCCCTTTCCATAATCTACCCCCCTTACTCAGAAAATTATCGAAAGAGTATTTTTTTTGTTCTTTTCACCCTTTCCTTAATTTGGATAAAAGAAGAGTCGGTGGCGACTCTTGCTTACTGCAACATTTGCGAACATAAACACAAAACCAGTATAACAGTCAGTTCTGCCACCGTATCACAGTATGGATTCAAATTATAGATTGGATGAGATTGAAAATTTCATTACCCATTCGAAGGTGCTTCGATTTGAAATCATGAGCATGGGAAATCCTACAACGAGGGTTGTGGAAACTCTTGGATTCTTTGAAAATTTGAGGAATTTTTGGTGCTCTCTGGGGGCAAGTTGCGCGTGTGAGGAAGTATATGTGTGTAGTTTGTCTTTGTGCGTGTCTCTCTCGTGTATTTATAGGAGATGGAGAGAGGGTCATAGCATAGAAATGGAAAGGGACAGCCATTAACTAGGCTTTGAAGGCCAAATTAGACACATTAAGGGATTTCCTTTTTTGAGGGATTCCTACCATTTTGGGTCTTGGGATGAACCTGGACATGTTTGGCTCCTTCGAATGCCCACAATCTTTGCTTTTCGATTGACCCAGGGTTGCCTCCTTCGATTGGTTTCAATTCTTATCATTGTGGCTTCTTCGATTGAGCCCCTATTTGTCTTGGTAGCTTGATCTAAACTCTTTAACTAGCCCAAACGAAATCTCCTTTCTGGCCAGTCAAAACTTCCCTTGTTACCTCCTTCGAATGCAATTGTGCAGGAGACTTGGGCTTGGCAACATGTTGACTTTTGGGCCAATAAGCAACTTGGACCAAGACTTATCATAAACTCATTTTCAATAATTATGCGTCTCCTTCGAATGGAACACATGTACATCCTTTGAATGGCCCTTGTGCATTCTTCGAATGGGCCACCAATGTGTGCTCATAATGTGGAAATCCTATGCTTATGAAACAAAGGCAGGCATGAAGAGGAAATATTTTCCTGATGAATCAAAGGCCAGTCAAAGAGGAAGCCTTTGCCTTGTGCGCTGAAGGTAAGCATCTTGAACCAATACTCATCAAAAGGAAAAACAAGTTTGTTTCCTACAATTATGTATCCTTCGAATGGACCACATGTATGTCCTTCGAAGGCACTATTGGCGTGTCCTTCGAATGGACCTTACTAGATGTCAAAATGTGGAAAACTGTGGAGTCAAAGCTAGCATGAGGGAAGTCAATTGCTTAATGAATCGAAGCACATATGAAAGGAAGCCACTGCTTTATGGGTGCTAGCATGAAGGGAACCATTGCGTTGCGCATTAGAGGCAAGCTCAGAAGAAGTCATTTTCTTGTGGGTCGAAAGCAAACACAGAGGCAAGTTGAAGGGGCCTTGGCCTTGTGGATCGAAGTAAAGTCTGAGACAGCTTTTTGTCTTAGGAATCAAAGACCAGTGAAAGGGGCCGTTTGCCTTTGTAGATCGAAGGAAAGTCTGATGGGCCTTTGCCTTGTGAATCCAAGGCAAGCATGAGGAAGCTTTTACCTAGTAGACCAAAGGCAAGCATGAAGAGGCGTACGTGTGCTGATGGCAAGCTGAAGTGGCCTTTTGCCCAGTGGAAGCTTTGTGAATTAAGCTTGATCGAAGGAGACTTAGCGTCCAATCGAAGCTTGTATGCAGGAGTCCACTGCTGGTAAGTAATTGTAGGGGGGTCTTGCCTTATGTGCTGAAGGCACGCACAACGGGAATATTTTCCTAGTACGCTGAAGGCGCGCACAAAGGGCACTGCTGGAATGATACTTGTGGGTTAAAGCTCGCTCGAAGGGTGTCAAATAACCAATCAAAGCTTACTAATTAAAGCATGATCGAAGAGTGCCAAACGCCCAATAAAAGTACCTTACTCATATGCCAATCGAAAGACACTTGATTATCTTCAAAAAAATTATATTTTCTCTAAGCAAGTGTTTGTAACCACCATGCAGAAAGTGAAGATCTTGGAAAACATGAGAGGGAAAATTTTAGGGTACAACAAGTATCTAGGTAAAAGGCGGTATATAGGTTTGTGATTTATCCTGTGAATGGATCCAATCTGTGGGCCAAAACTCAATATCTTGATGTTTAACCACCTAAGTTTAGAAAGATGCCTGGTAGACCAAAGAAAAGGAGAAACCTTTAGCAAGGGGGGATTGATGGCACTGACAGAAAATTGAGAAGAATTGGTTTTATTCTAAAGGGTTCTAGGTGCAAGAAATCTGGACATAACAAGAAAACCTGTAAAGTCAATGCAACACAAGGCACTGCATCTCAAACCGTTGCATCTCAAGGCAATGCAGGCCAAGCCAATGCATCTCAAACCACTGCGGCTCAAGGCAATGCAACTCAAGGCAATGCATCTCAAATCCTTGCAGCTTAAGATAATGCAACTCAAGTCAATGCATCTCAAACCATTGTATCTCAAGGCAATGCAGGGCAAGCCAATGCATCTCAAACCACTTAAGCTCAAGTCAATGCAAGGCAAAGCAACAAAACTCATGGCAGTGCAACACAAGTTTCTGCATCTCAAACCACTGCAACTCAGGTTGCAGCAGCACAAGCATCAGTTGCACAGGGTTACGTGAATGCAACTCAGTCTTCACAAGGAAAATAAAACTGATATGCTTGACTTGTGTCGATACAAAGTATGAATGAGTCGACTCATCTTAAAAAGGGTTGCTCACAAAGCAAAACTGATATGTTTTGATTAATGACATGCCAAACAAAATAAGTCTTATTAAACTGATAGTATGTGTTAAAATTACACATAAGCTTGCACATAAATTTCCCAAACTGAAAATACACACAAATTGCTACATACTCCTACTTCTAATACAACTTAATAACAAATACACATAACAGTACAAAACACAGAATATTCGATGTTTTTTTCCACTTCAACATCTTGTTGAGTTGAATTTGAAGTTCTAACACAGCATCCCCTAATTCTTCATTTCTAACCCTCAATTTTTCGTACTGATTCTTGATTTCATCTAAATCCTTTGCTATGCTTTCCAATCTATTACTCAATACTTGGTTTATGACTTCTGCCAATTCCTCTGCCAATTCCTCGTGACACCAATGGAAGAAGCCACACCCTCTTTGCAAGGAGCCTTGCAAATTTCACAAATTGATCAAACTCTGTTTACGATCTTCTAACATACCTAAACCATAATTAGGGCTTACCTTGTAATTGTGACAACCCCAAAATTTCTTTCCATAATTCTTCTCAGTGGTTGCCCTACGAAGAACAGCGTTGTCTCCGCAACGACAAAGTGGTGCAATCCGTGAGTTACTGTATACACATGATCCAACACTTTCAGATTGACAGAGGTTCTTTGGGGAAGATGAATGATTCATATTCATGGAGAAAGGAAAGAAGATGAAGAAGGTACAGAAAAATTTGAGAAGGAGAACGTTAACAAAATTTTGTGAAGGAGATTTTGAACCACTGAAATACGCTTTCTGCATATAAAGAAGATGAATAAATCTGCCAGCTCACCTGCCACCTCACACAAATAAACGGATGTTGCAGGCCAATTAACGGAAGGACTAACGTGGTTGCATTTTGAAACTTAAGGGACCATTTTGACAAAAAAAAAATAAGGGACCAAAGTGAACCATGACCTATAGTTAATGGACCAAAATAAGTATTTTGCCATTAAATTATGCTCTAAACATATTTATCTATTCGAAAGTTAAATAAAAATGAAGAAGTTACAAAAACAAATAACTCATATAATGAAAAAGATAATAGTAAAATAAATAAATAAAAACTTCACTCATAATAAATTTAGGAGCCTTTTATTCATGATGACAATCACCAAAATTTAAGTAAAAAATTGTTTTTGAAATAATTATTGTATGTTTCCAATCCAATTTATTTATTTTATTATGAGTTTATTCTTCTCTTATTCATCTTTTGGATTTGTATTATATTGTATATTTCTTTGGTTTGATAGTGAAAGATTTCATATGTTATTTATTGTATAGAAATTAATTTTTGTTTAATAAGTTTTTAACTTTGGTGTATAAGGTTATACTTATTTTACTTTAACTTCAATTTTAATAAAAAATTTAACATATCTAAAAAAACTTATTTCATTTATTTCATCTACTAACGATATTTGATTTTGTTTGGTAACATGTTAAGTTACGTAATAATAAACATGTAAAATAATATGATATCTAGCCGTTCAAAGTTTATATTATATATTCATTAATTTTTGTTCCTATACAAATTATATGTTTAATGTCACTCATTTTAATTTTAATTTTTATTTCTCTTTTTTTATATGAAATTCTAAAAACAAACTTGATAAATAAATTGAGATTTATTTCGGGAATATCACTTTGCAATAAAAAATTTGTTAAGAATATATATATATTCTATGTGTTAACACTAAGAATCTCATAAATGTGTTAAAACTATGAATATTAAGTTTATCAAATTCCTATTAGATGTGTTTTTTCATGTAAAATAGATGGAAGAAAAAGATATTCCAATATATTATTAGTATTATTAGAAATTATTTGATTTTTTATATTTACAAAAATATTTATTTTTATTAAAAAAAATTATTTATGTTTCATCTTACGGTCAGTATAAACCGAGTATTGAATTTATTTAATCTATTATTTTTATTTGAAAAGCAAACTCTTATTTTCAAAATTACACTTATTAATATATAAATAATAATTTTTAAAGATTAATAAACGGAAATGAAATAGGTTTATAAACGGAAATGAAATTAATTTTTAAGATAATAATATTATTTTGTTTCTATAAAAATTAATTCAGTCAATTAAATATGTTTTATTTTGTAAATTTATTAAAAAATATGAGACAAATATGATTGGTGAATATATAAATTTTGTATATTTATTAATATTTTGTTTGCATTTCATTTTTTATTTTACTCATTAATATTTTGTCTTATTTTATAAGAAAGTATAACATATTATATATGATCAACTTTAACGAGTTTTACTCCTTAAAATTTAAAATAAATTTATGTTCACTTCGTTAATGCCCCATCTTAAAAAAAGGCGGGCATATAAAATATAGAGTTCAATTCCGAAAAATTATTGATGATGATACGTAATAACTACATTATTTAAATTTTTATTAATTTTTTATTTATTTTTAATTAAGAATTATATATTCATATACTATAATTTTTTTTGGATATCTCTACTTTTTTTAAATTTGATATTTAATTTAACTTAACATAATTTTATTGTACATTATGACATAACATCACTACCTTCTAAATTAAATTAATATTTTTATTATAATCATAATTTGAAATATTTTATTTTTTTTAATTTATATATATTTTATATATATTTATTAACCATCGTTATACTATATTTATTTACTATTTAATACGATATTGCATGACTCATACAATTACACACGTGTAGATGACTACTTAATTATTTTCTTTATTTTCTAACTAAAATATAATTTTCGACGAGTTCAGATTACTTAATTTGTATATATTTCATATACATTTATTAACTATTACTATATTACATTTATTTACTATTTAATACGATATTGCACGACTCATGCGAACACACGAGTAAATGACTACTTAATCATTTTCTTTAGTTTTTTATGCTAAAATATACATGTTCGACGATTCGAGACTACTTAATTTGTATATATTATATATATATTTTTAACCATCAATGTCCTATATTTACTATTTATGACGATATTGCGCAACTCATGTGAACGCACATATAGATGACTACATAATTATTTCATTTATTTTTTCTATTAAAATATACATTTTTAACGGGTCAAGAATATTATATATATATATATATATATATATATATATATATATATATATATATATATATATATATATATATATATATATATATATAAAATTTTCTTAATCATCAATATATTCTATTTATAACGATATTGTGTGACCCATGCGAACGCACGGGTAGATGAATATTTAATTATTTTCTTTATGTTTCTACTAAAACATATATTTTTCAACATAATATAACTGAATAAATTAAATTTATATTTATATAACAATCATCATTGAAATAATTTTTTTTCTTAATTCATATAACGACTTTGAGTGATCTATACAAACGCACGAGTCATTTATTAGTTACTAATAAATATCTTAATTTTTTTGAAGTTACCCCCTTAAAAATTTAATTGTTATCTATATAATTCAAAGTTAAAATAAATAAATTTAAAACTTTATGTGAAAGAACATAAAATAAATTAATGTTAATTTTAATCTTTATCTTTTTAATTTGTATAATTTATTTAATATTAAAAACATAATGTAATATAAATTATATTATATTTTAAAAAAAATGCTATTTTATATATTATAAGCTTTTGAAAATTATTATTTTTTTTAAATAAAAATATAACTTTTTTAATGAATAATATTGATAATACTTTTTGCTCCCCACCAAATATTTTTGAATTCCCCGTTGACACGATTTACATGTTTCGACTAAGTTTATTGTATATTTTATTTACCTAAAATAAAGTATTTAACAACAATCTCTATATTAGTTCACCATTTATTTACATGTTTCAACTAAGTTTATTATATATTTTATTTACCTAAAGTAAAGTATTTAACAACAATCTCTATATTGGTTCACTATTTATTTACATGTTTCGACTAAGTTTATTATATATTTTATTTACTTAAAGTAAAGTATTTAACAGTAATTCGTCATTTATAATATTATTAGAAATTATTTGATTTTTTTATATTTACATAAATATTTATTTTTATAAAAGGAAATATATTATTTATGTTTTATCTTACGGTCACTATAAACCGAGTACTGAATTTATTTAATCTATTACTTTAATTTGAAAAACAAACTCTTATTTTCAAAATTACACTTATTATATATAAATAACAATTTTTAAATATTAATAAACGAAAATGAAATAGGTTTATAAAAGAAAATGAAATTAATTTTTAAGATGATAATATCATTTTTTTTCTATAAAAATTAATTCAGTCAATTAAATACGATTTATTTTATAAATTTATTAAAAAATATGAGACAAATATGATTGATGAATATACAAATTTTATATATTTATTAATATTTTGTTTGCATTTCATTTTTTATTTTACACATTAATATTTTATTTTATTTTATAACAAGGTATAACATATTATATATGATCAACATTTATATATGTTCAACGAGTTTTACTCCTTAAAATCTAAAATAAATTTATGTTCACTTCGTTAATGCCCCATCTTTAAAAAAGGCGGCAGACAAAATATAGAGTTCGATACCGAAAAATTATTGATGATGATACATAATAACTATATTATTTTAATTTTTTTTGTTTTTAATTAAGAATTATATATTCATATACTATAAATTTTTTTTGGATATCTCTACTTTTTTTTAATTTGATATTTAATTCAACTTAACATAATTCTACTATACGTTCGGACATAACATCACTACCTTCTAAATTAAATTAATATTTTTATTATAATCATAATTTGAAATATTTTATTTTTTTAATTTGTATATTTTTTATATACATTTATTAACCATCGTTATACTATATTTATTTACTATTTAATACGATATTGCATGACTCATACAAATACACACGTGTAGATGACTACTTAATTATTTTCTTTATTTTCTTACTAAAGTATAATTATCGACGAGCTCAGATTACTTAATTTGTACATATTTTATATACATTTATTAATTATCATTATACTACATTTATTTACTATTTAATACGATATTGCACGATTCATGCGAACACACGAGTAAATGACTACTTAATTATTTTCTTTAGTTTTTTATACTAAAATATATATTTTCGACGAGTCGAGACTACTTAATTTGTATATATTTTATTTTTATTTTTTAACCATCATTGTCCTATATTTACTATTTATGAAGATATTGCACAACTCATGTGAACGCACATATAGATGACTACATAACTATTTCATTTATTTTATTTATTAAAATGTACATTTTTAACGGGTCAAGATTACTTTATATATATATATATATATATATATATATATATATATATATATATATATATATATATATATATATATATATATATATATATATATATATATATATATATATATATATATATATATATATATATATATATATATATATATATAACGATATTGTGTGACTCATGCAAACGCACGGGTAGATGATTATTTAATTATTTTCTTTATGTTTCAACTAAAACATATATTTTTCAACATAATATAACTGAATAAATTAAATTTATATTTATATAACAATCATCATTGAAATAATTTTTTCTCTTAATTCATATATCGACTTTGCGTGATCTGTACAAACGCACGAGTCATTTATTAGTTACTAATAAATGTCTTAATTTTTTTGAAGTTACCCCCTTAAAAATTTAATTGTTATCTATATAATTCAAA